TTCGACCAATTTTTTTTCGAATTCTATCTCTCTGGAATTTATAATCATACCTGAATGAAAATTAAAATTACTTACTTAATCAAGAATTTCAACTAACAAAAAATTTTAGTTTCACATTATATGCAAAAAATTACATATTCAACACCCTCAAAATTACAGTCTGGGAAACGCTGCGCTCTAGAGCAGCGCCGTTGGGAATAAATGTTCGAATTCAAGGCGCAAAAATATTATTAAAACTTGAAAAGGATAATTAGACCTCCCGTTTTACATTGTTTCAAGCATTTTTTTATTACACACAACGAATATTAAATTGACTTCAGTAGAAAACAACAGTGCTGCAACTGCAATAAAAAAAAATCCCATGGCTGAAAAAAACACGAAATCTAAATCATCTGAATAGAACTGAAAATTTTGAAAGAATCTTGAGGATTCCTGATGATCTTTGATACAATCTTACAAAATTTGATTGGAAATAATCAGGAAGATTAAAAAAATCGAAAAGATCTGAAAGGAGATGAAAGAAACTGAATGCATATGATAAAATCTGAAGGAATTTGAGGGAATCTGAGAGAAATTGCGGGTTTGGAAAGAATCTAAGAAATTCGGAAAGTATAATTTACTAGAATTTTAGAAAAAAATTAAAACTGAATGAGAATCTTTTGCAATGTAACTTTGAAACTGCCAAGTCGATTGCTCGGAAATCTTGTAAATATTTTAAGGTTATCGTAATCATGGTAAATCGTTAAGCAAAATTTATTCTTTACCCCTTACCAAAAACCGATGACGTCATCTCAAAATTTCGCCGAACAAATCCTGTCCAAAATGTGCCAAAACAGTTTTACTTATTTCTAAATTCTCTACAATGTTGAATATTTAGAATTTATAGAATTTTTAGAATCTCTTGATTCTCAAGAATCTCTAGAATCCTTAGAATCTTTAGAATTTTTAGAATCTTTAGAATTTTTAGAATCTCTAGAATATTTAAACTTTTATCTGTGAAATATCTAGAAAGTCTAAAATCTATAGAATGTTTAGAATCTCTTGAATTGCAGGAACCGGTGTACTCTGTGAATTACTTTGAACCTCTAAACATTTAAAATCTCCAAAATTTTAAAAAAGATTTCGAATGTTCCAAATATTCCAAATAGTCCCGCAACTGGTTTAAAGATTCGGAAGATTCTAGTAGGTCTAGAGATCGTAGAGTATTTAGAGATTTTAAATATAGTACAAACTTTATCGATTTCAGCCATTCTAGAAATTATAAAAATTCTAGATACTCTAAAAATTGTAAAGATTTTGGAGAGTATAGAGATTCTAGAATTTCCATATATTCCAAATATTCAAGTATTCATAAAGATTGTAAAAAATTTAGAGATTCTAGAGATTGTAGAAGTTTTAGAGTTTAACTGTTTCAGAAGTCCTAGACATTCTGAAAATTCGTAAGACTAGAGATTCTAAAAATTCTAGAGGTTTTAGATATTCTTAAGATTCTGAACATTCTGGGGTTTTTAAAGATACTAAAAATTCCAAAAAATCCGAAGAATGCAAAGATTTGGATTTTTTGCAGATTCTAGATATTTTGGAGATTCTTAAGGTTCAAGAAATTCGCGAAATTCTAAATGCTGTAGAGATTCTAGAAATGTTTAAGAATTTCAAGATTCTAGAGGTTCTGAATATTCTGCAGATACCAAATATTCTAGAGATTCTGAAAATTTCAAGAAATCCAAAGTTTTAAATTGTAGTAGTTCTAGCGATCCTAGAGATTTAGAAATTCTAGGGGTTCCGGAGATTTTGGAGATTCTACAAATTTTGGTGATTCTAAAGAAATAGTAGTTTTTAGAAACTTTAGAATCTTCAGAATCTTTAGCATCTCCAGAATCTCCAGAACCTCTAAAATTTAGAGTCTCTAGAACCTTTAGAAAACTTAGAATCTTAAGAACCTTTACAATTTCTGGAATCGTCAGACCCTAAAATTTTTGGAATTTTTGGAATGAGTCTTTAGAATCTCCTGATTTTAAAGAATCTCTAGAATTGCAGGAACCGCTATTTCGAATGTTCCAAATATTCCAAATATTCTCGAAATTGGTTTAAAGATTTGGAAGATTCCAGAGATTTCGAAGATTCTATTAGTTCTAGAGATTGTAGAGTATTTACAGATTTTTAATTTAGTACAAACTTTGGAGTCTAGGCGTTCTAGCCATTCTAGAGATTCTAAAAATTCTAGATACTCTAAAGATGGTAAAGATTTTGAAGAGTTTAGAGATTTTAGAAATTCCAGATAATCCAAATATTCCAATATTCCTAGAGAATGTGGAGAATTTAGGGATTCTAGAGATTGTAGAAGTTTTAGAATCTAACGGTTTCAGCAGTCTTAGAAAATCTGAAGATTCGAAAGCTTCTAGAGACAAGACTTATGTTAGCAAGTACTAGCCCCGCCCACCCACCCACTATTTTCTCAGGGGGTATGGCATTTGCCAAAATCAGTCTTATCTGAGCAAGAACTAGTACTTGTTAAGATAGGAATGATTTTGGCAAATCATATACCCTTTAACAAAATTGAGGGTGGGTGGGTGGGGTTAGTATTTGCTAAGATAAGACTGATTTTGTCAAATGATATACCCTCTAAGAAAATAGAGGGGGTGGGCGGGGCTTGTATTTGCTAAAATAAGACTGAACAATATCAAGAGTAATCACTAGAATGAAGAAGGGGTGAAGAAAAAACTAAACCCAGCCCTCCCCACAATTTTTTTTCTCCATTTCACTGAGATATCGTATTTACTGTAAAATGGAAATTGGATTCTATTTTGAAAGACGCTAGAATATTAAGATTTAAAACAAAGTCAGTAATGGCCTGGCCCATCCACCCCTATTTTGATCATTCATTCTGAGACGGATGTTGTAAAGCTATCGCTTGCTTATAAAGACCCTGTAGGAATTCATAAATTGATAGTTAACACAACCAACAGTATTCCACTCGAACTGGGAGATCAAGATAACAATTTAGTTTTGGGTAAAAGGGTTGGGGGAATTCCGTTATCAAAATGCCGACAATTCATTAACCCAAATTGGGGGGTTTTAGTTATTCTCTACACCCCTTCTTCATTCTAGTGACTACTCGTGATAATGTTCAGTTTTATCTTAGCAAACACTAGCCCCGCCCACCCACCCTCTCTTTTTTTAAAGAGTATATCATCTGCCAAAATCATTCGTACCTTAGGAACTACTAGCACCGCCCTCTATTTTCTTAGAAGGTATGTAATTTGCCAGAATCATATATTAAGAAACAAAAAAGCAAAATATATGCCCCGCCCACCCGCCCTATCTCAATTGTGTTTTTTTTAATTGTCGTGAGGCAGGGGCGGAGCTTAATTGCAAAATGCTTACTTTTCTGCAAGAAATTACCATCTGAAACATGTTCTTAAATAATCGTGTTGTTCAAAGAAAATTCTAATTACCAAGTAAAAAAGAAAGCCAAAGATTAAGCTCCACCTCCACCCGCTCCAATCTCAATTGTGATGAATTTTCATTGGTTGTCAGACCGAGGGGCGGATCGTAATTGCAAAATCCATATGTCGCTTCGAAAATATGGTAAGTCCATTTTAAACATATTTTAAGTATTTTGTTATGAAAAAGCGAACGTACAATTGGTTCTCAAGATATTTAACACTGTCCATACATTCTAGCCATCCAGTATAAGTGTATCTGAGAAAATCCTTTTATTTGAGCCCTACTTGTCTATTTGTCTATTTTTGATTATGAGTGCCTTTTTTCATTTTTTTGACCTAAATACTTTTTTCTGTCTACTTTCTTCTAAAATCTGAATTTTTTACATCCCTAAACACATGTTTCTTCCGAAGGGCACATTTTTTATTTTTAATATTTTATATTCCCTATACTGTTATAAAGTACTTGCTACGATAAGACTGATTTTGGCAAATCATAAAGCCTCTAAGAAAATAGAGGGCGGGTGGGCGGGGCTAGTTTTTGTTAAGATAAGACTGAACAATATCAAGAGTAGTCACTAGAATGAAGAAGAGGTGTAGAAAAAACTCATTTTATTGGCCCTGGTTCTGTTACTAACTAATTCGTTATTGACTAACAAATAAGTTCATAATAAGTTTAATAAACAATTTAGTGTTAATTTCCGCTTCTACGAAAAATATTAACATTGTCAGCAGGTCACTTTTTGTTGCTACTCAAAACAGTAATCCTTGGACGTTATGAATCACGGATTTGTTTAGTTTCAATAAAAATCGGCGACATTTACCTAGTGTTCAACTGAATGTTGATTATTTACATAATACTCTATCATCTCTTGTGTATCTATTTCTTCCAATTCGCACACTTCTTAACTGCATTAGCACAGCTTTACGTACATTTTAGTACAATTTGAATAACAAAAACAGAAAGGTGTTACATGACTCAAGAACACGGTCTTCCGATTTTTTATTTCCTCGAAGTATTAACATGTTAAAATAAATTCAAACATAAATCAACAAACAGGGGAATATGTTGTTTAGCGGTTGATAGTATTGCATTGTTGGCAACAGTTTTAACAAAAAATTGACCCCGTTTACGCAACATAAACACTGAATGAAATATAACTGAAAATTCAAAACGAGTTTAAAAACTAACCTTACAAATTAGCGAAAGTTTTAATACCTGTTGGTGTGCATATCTTGTAATCACGTCTTTTATGGTTCCTGTAAGAATGTGCCCATAATGTGGTAAACCAGTCGCAAACGGGGGTCCATCGTAAAAGGAAAATTCTGGTTTTCCTCTGGATTGTCGCAAACATGTCTGAAAAGCGTCAATGTCTTGCCAATATTTCAAAACTTTTTCTTCTTCTAGCGGAAAATTGATCGACATTTTCGTGAAAAGAACACACTGTGTTGACTGTATGACGCAATGTGAGACTGCATCAGTCTGATGCAATATGGCCCAACTTCCACTACCCAGTGCGCATCTCAAAAATTATTGCAAGGTTAATAAAATCGCACTTTTAAATAAACATATTTTATAATCACATTTTCGTTTTTAATACATTATTTTACATTATTCAAACATCATAATACCACTTTATTAACAATTACAAGCATTAGAAACTTTCATTGAAAGTAATGCTTCATATTAAAAATATACTTTTAAAAATAATTACCTAAAAAGCTATTAACTAAATTTGCTATTCGATATTTAAAATACGATCTTTCATTGCTAACTGCTACATCAATATTACAACATTACTTAGTCAAAATATATATTTCACGTTACAAAATGTAAAAACGGCCACTCCACGTAGCCAAACTATTGCAAACAATCTGTGCATCCAGACAAAACAATTTGGCACCTTGTAATAACTCCTTACATCTAACACTGTTAGCTTACACTTAATCGTAACAGCCAAGAAGACAGCTGATAGACATTTTAGTGCCTGGTAATACTTTGCTTTGCAAACGGGCACACATAAGGAAAATACATCCAACAATTGCAGCATTGCTTGGCTGTAACTGTTCATGACTAGCAAATTCGTAATGTTATTAAAAATCAAAAGTGAGTATTTTTTCTGCAAGTATGAACCACCCACAGACACAACTACCGAAAATCTGCAGTCCCAAAACGGGAACAGGCTTCACTTGTACGTTCTCATCCACAATTTTGGTCAAACAGTAACTGAAATGGTTTATTTAATGACATTTGAACTACCTAAATATGTATACTTTGAACGAAATGCGTGAAAGGCGACTATGTTTAGATTTAGAGTATTGCGAAAATGCTACAGATATACACAAAAATACAGAGTGTCCCACTAATTAATAGTGTTTACATGGCCAATGAAAATTAAGATTTTTTGCATTAAAAATGAAAATGTGGTGGCATAAAGCTAAAATAATGTAGTGTTTAAATTTTTGTACGATTTATACGTTCAACGTACAACTTGTAACAGTTTTAAAATTTAACCAAATGTAAATTTACACTTTAACTTAATTTGTACGGAATGGTAAACAAGTTCTTTGAAACGAAAGACACCCTGTATTTGCTTAATTGAAATACAAACAGTAATACTGTATATGATTTTACAGTCCTCAGGACCAAGGTATGTATTTTTGTAACTACTGCTAAACATTATGCAATTTACTGGTCTCAAAATAAAACACTCTACTTCAAAGACAGGTACGTTTTTAGCCAATTACGTTCAATTCCTCGTCCGGAATCCAGCACTCTTGACGTAAAGCGAATTAAATAAAACTGGACCCGCGAATATAATTTTACACAGATAATACACGTATGTTTTGAATATAAAACCACAGCCTGCGAGAAAGCTATAGCCCTCTGTCACAAAAAAAGTGTCACCGTTAAGTACTTAAGTAAGTTGAGAGCCAATCGTGACTTAATTTTGACAGAGGGCTAATAAACCGGTAGCACACTTTCAACAATAAAATAGTCTCTACTGATATGTCACTAGCTATACTAGTTTGTTAGGTTGTTAAAACAGTTACAAGCGAAACAATTAAGTTTTTTTTCAAATTCAAACTGACAGAAAATGCATAATGTTCCAACTATTGCACAATACATTTCAGTTAAAAAAAAAAAAAAATACATTACGGCGCTACTTTCCTCAAGTCGAGCCACTGCATGTCGTCGTCAAACCTCTCCACTCTCACTTTCTGTCTATAGTGATACTCTTTGAGATAGCTCTTCAGCGTTTTAGGCAACTGCAGGAGATTAATGTTGTCGTAGGTCAGACGATTCACGATTACAGCCCTACACAAATGCTGCAACGAAAATGTAGAGTTCCTATGTAAAGGCCAGGTTAGCATAGGCTCGAAAAACATGCAACTACTCGGATCTTTATAGTGTTCGATAAGGCCACAAACTGTATCCGACGTGTATACACCAGGGTCGTGCGAATCGAAACTAAATTTATGATTCCACTGTTCTATTCTTGCGTGCAAGGAACGACCGTATTTTCGAAATGACACACTGAACAGAAATTCCTCTTGGGCTGAATCTCTGAGCAGAAAAGTGCCTTCGGGTTTGCCGTCGAGGAGACGTTCGGCTTCGTAGCGGTCCATTTTGCCTGAAAAAAAATATCACGATATAAATCTTTTAATCGTGCGATAAAACGTGTTTGAGCGACCCTGAAAGCGTTATCGCTGTTAATACCTTGAATTACACAGAACGATAAAAATTAACGATCTCGAAAAAGTTGTCATTTCCGTTTGTTGTTTGTGTACTAAATTAACTAAATATTTATTTATCACCTGTCACAGCAATTAAAAACTTGTGTAACTACTATATTCGGTCAGATAAAATCTGGAGATTATTGTTAACATAAATCAACGAACGGAAATTGCTGTCGGTTATGAAATGGCCACGAATGTCTAAAAAATATATTGTATTTGAATGAAATAATGGCAGGATGTTTCTGGTGATGTCACTTTTAACATTTTTGGATTAGTGTTGTATAACACGACCATTACGATTTACGTTCAATGTTACATTGAACACTTCAAAAATAATATATTTATCCCCACCAAAGTTGGGCTCGACTGAAAGTTCAGAGAAATTTGATAAACCGCTTTTTGGTGCAATTTATTACAATTTATTGCACTCGGCTTTCCGGTACATTTCCTTTTTTAATCACGTAGAAGCTAAGATTAGGTTTTATACCACAATTAACACAATTATGTCACTATTTGTGCAAATTATGTACATAAGCGGTTGTTAAAAACTGTTATTTACTTAACTTTATTTACTTCAAGCGTAAACAAAACGTTAGGTTTTGTTTTATTATTATACACTTTTTTTTTCGTCAACATTTTAATGTTCTTATTTTTATTAAAATTAATACAGATAAAAATTCTCAACAGTTCTATTTATTAGTTGTTGTTTTGCATTGAATAATGCAGATAAGATTTTGGTAAAGTATCGAAATGATTATTTTCTCGTTGTAAACAAACGCTGTTATTGATAATTTTAAGTATTTTTTTCAAACATTAAAAAAAAGGAATTCAGTTCTAGAACTTGTCCTTCTGCTATCTTACTCTCTCCGGGTGAATTTTTGTTAAAATGTGGCAACCATGGAAATCTATAACTACCGAAAACAATGAAGTTTACGAGAGAAACAAGGAAGAAATTATTATTTATCAACGTTGAGAGAGTTGAAAACGAAACTATCGGTATCCATTCGACGGAAATTGTTGTTGAGAGAACTGTTACTACGGTAGATAGGTAAAGTATATGGGGTATTCCATACCAAATCGACCACTTTTTAACCCGACCCCTTTTGATATGCCTGAAAGTTTTTCTTCCTTTTCTATCCTATAAAAGACGTTTCTCAGAATTTTTTCAATTTTTTTTACCCGACTCAAAAAAAGTTATGAATTTTTGAAAAAAACCGCTCATTTTTTTTTGAACTGCTAGAACTTTTTCAAAAATTGACCGTTTGGGACCGTTTTTTTTTCAAAATTTTTGTTTTTAAATGTACTTTTCGGAAAAAAATATACCAAAATTTTTAAAGTTCATCTTATAAGAAATTTTTCAGTTTTTTGAGAAAAACCATCAAATTTTCGAAGTTCGCCATTTTTTATTTTTTATTTTTTTTTTCTCATAAAAAACTTCAATCAATTCTCCAATTATCCCCACTAATCCCGGAGTGGGCCGATTCTTTTTTCTATTTTTTTTATTTAATTGAAAAAAAAATCTTTTCATTTTCAATAGTAAACAATTTTTTTTTTTTATCTATATTATTTATATTACAAAAGAAACATAATTAAATGATTTTCAGGTAATATATTTTTTATTTATAATATATATATATATATATATATAATATAATAAGGATTACAACATCGATCGAATTGCTTATTTGATGCCATAATGTTTCGATGAAATTATTTTGATAAATGTAGATAAGTATAATAATCAAAATAATTATCGCTTCTAAAACAATGAATCAGAAGAATGTTCATAAACTAGAGAAAATTGTTCTTTTTATTAATCAAATATAATGACAATAATCTTTAATTCAATACTAAAACGCACTGAAGATTTATGGGTTATGTTCTAACTCTCAATTTAAGACAACCGTATAGATTTATGGATTAGAACATACTTGCGTGTATCGAATAAACTGGCTATAGGTAAGTCTGTAATTGTCATACCCTAGTTTATCGATCCGATTGACGTATTAAGATTTGAATCTCAGTCATATTAATCGTAGATTAAGATTATAAATAAAAAATATATTACCTGAAAATCATTTAATTATGTTTCTTTTGTAATATAAGGAGTGTTCATTTTATTAAACGGACACCTTTAAAGTAACGCCACTTTTCTAATTTTTAATCTAAATTATTCTAGTTTTTATATATGAAAGCTTTAAGTTGTATCTATTAAATGCCATTTTTGTTTTCAAAATAACATTATTTCTTTTTAAAATGAAGCGAATCGCCATTGGGGCAAGAAAATTATCTTTGCAAAAGTGATGCTACGAAAAATTTCCGTTGGGGGGACTGCCTAAAATAACTAAATGTTCAAAATCAGCAATGTTCCAAATAATCAAAAAGTTTGGGGAGTTTAATACTTTAGAAGATTTGCTCAAATCCTGACCGAGAAAAGGCCCGCTTAACGAAAATATTGAGGAAAACATCATTAAACTGCTAAAATTAACGAAATGTATGTCTGTGTGGGAAATACCGAAGAAGCAAGGTGTTACCGTAGGTATTGTACAAAATATAAAGACTCGGAATAACATTAGAACGTATTAAAGCAAAAAATCCCAAAAAGAAGCGAAAAGCAGCGCACAAAGTTTAAAAAAAAAGCAGGAAGTTATAAACAATTTTGGTCAGGAACAAAAATCGTTGTGTTTTGATGGACAACGAAACGAAGGTTAAAATGGACTGCAATACACTACCCGGCTCCCAGTTTTATAATGCAGTTGTAGGGGAAGATGTCCTCGATGACATGAAAACAAAAAAAAATTGAAAAGTTTGGGAAAAAAGTCTTAGTGTGGCAACCGATTTGATCTTGTGGGCTAAAAAGTTTTAGTTTTTTTTTACGATTGGAACAATTCGGGGCGATGATTACAGGAAAGAATGTATAAAAACGCGATTATCGCCTGTTTATTGCAAACATCATAACCCTCCATTGTTTTGGCCAGATTTGGCTTCGGTTCACTACGCTGGTGCCACTCAGGAGCTTCTTAATGCCAATAATGTACAGTTTTTAAAAAAGGAAAATAAACCACCCAACTGTCCTGAGCTTCGTCTACTTGAGCGATAATGGGCAAATATGAAATCAGTGTTAAGAAAAGATGGCCGTACAACATCATGAGTTGGAGATTTTAAAAAAATGTGGCCTCCTGCTATGAAGAAATCACAAACAAACCTGTGCAAACAGTGATTCGAGGTATTCGCGCAATAGTTAGAAAATTGTATAGTTTCTGAATATAATTGATTAGAGAATAAGAATAATTATTTCATTTAACATTGTTAAACATTTTTATAACAAAAAAAAAATAAATTAGCCCAAAGTACTCGAATTAGTAGCAATTTTTCAGTGTCCGCTTTATAAAATGAACATTCCTTAAATAATAGATAAAAAAAAAATTTTTTTTCTTTTGAAAATAAACAAATTTTTTTTTCAATTAAATAAAAAAAATAGAAAAAAGAATCGGCCCACTCCGGGATTAGTGGGGATAATTGGAGAATTGATTGAAGTTTTTTATGAGAAAAAAAAATAAAAAATAAAAAATGGCGAACTTCGAAAATTTGATGGTTTTTCTCAAAAAACTGAAAAATTTCTTATAAGATGAACTTTAAAAATTTTGATATATTTTTTTCCGAAAAGTACATTTAAAAACAAAAATTTTGAAAAAAAAACGGTCCCAAACGGTCAATTTTTGAAAAAGTTCTAGCAGTTCAAAAAAAAATGAGCGGTTTTTTTCAAAAATTCATAACTTTTTTTGAGTCGGGTAAAAAAAATTGAAAAAATTCTGAGAAACGTCTTTTATAGGATAGAAAAGGAAGAAAAACTTTCAGGCATATCAAAAGGGATCGGGTTAAAAAGTGGTCGATTTGGTATGGAATACCCCGTATATTAAAGATAATAGTCGTCAATATTAAGACTTTCGTGAAATCGAACCTGTTTTTAAAATATTTACATTGAAGATACTAGGGGTCCGGAGATCTTTTCAAATATATAAGGACCTATTCAAAATTATTTATATTCATTCAAAAACAGATTACTAAATTTTGAGAACTCAAAATTCTTTCAAAACAAAAAAAACACCAGAGCCCCCATTCTTTTTAATATAAAAGATATTACTATTTCAAGAATTCTTTCAAAAACAAAGCATCAGAAAATCCCTACAGATTCTTCAAAATTCATTCAAAAACACATGGTCAGAGGACCTCAATTCTTCATATCGTTAAAAAAATCCCAAGGTTCTTAAAAAAAATCAAGACCTCAATTTTCCGATTTTTCGTTTTAATTTTTTTTCAATTTTTAAATATGTATTTCAATTTTTCAATTTTGAGACTTCAATTTTTCGATTCAGTTTTTCAAGACAAAAATTCAATTGAAGAATTGGAAAAATAAAAAACCAAAACTTGAAAATCCAGAAGCTGAAAGGTCGAATTGGGTCTTCCGATTTGCAATTTTTCGAGTTTTGGGTTTTAAATTTTTCGATTTTTTAACTTTTGAATCTCTTAATTTCACGATTTTTCATTTTGCAAGCTCTCGTGTTTTCCATTTTAAGATATTTTAATTTTTTCAATTTTTCAACTTGTCGAATTTCCAACTTTTGAATTTTTCATTTCTTCCGTTTTTCGATAGGTAATTTTTCGAGTTTTCAATTTAAACATTTTGGTTTTTTCAGTTTTTAATTTCTTTAGTTTTTCGATTTTCAAATTTTTCAATTTTCAATTTCAAATATGTACTTCGATTTTCCCACTTTTGAATTTTTCTTCTTCTTTTCGATCTTTCAATTTTGAGACTTCAATTTTTCGATTTTCCGAGTTTTCATTTTTCAAGCCAAAATTCAATTGAAGAAAAAATTAAAAAACGAAAATTTGT